AATTTGTACTTTCGTTAATGGATTTTTTCGAAGAAAAACTTTAAACTTATATGCATATTTTAGATTCGACGCATGATATAGCAAATTGACTCCACATCAAATTATACAAGGATCAAATAGAATGTTAATATAGAATTAGTTACTTTCAATATTGATTAAATGAGACAGAAGAGAATGGATCAAATACTAGATAATAATTACATAAAAATCAGAAAACTAAGTATTCAAATCACACCGGAGCAAAACAACTTCACATTTTTTTATTTATGAAAATTGTGCCAATAATTGTTCAACAGATATATAAAAGATTCAGTACGTTAAATAAATTTATAGATATTTAAAACATAAAATTTTGCAAAATAGCTGTGTGACCCCGACGTGATTTGAACACGCAACCTTCTGATCTGGAGTCAGACGCGCTACCAGTTGCGCCACGGAGTCACTGCTAAGCAAATTCTAACGATGATGAATGATTTCAAAGCACTTGCCCCTGGCAGTTTGTTCTTCTTGATGTAAATTGGATGGCGATTGTTTTATTGAAGAATTTTGTGTCGGACTTGTCGGCCTAAGTGTTAAAAGCGAATCTTCCGATACAGCATTGTCATCATCCGTTATTTGCATGTCGACCTAAAAAATTGCTAATTAATTATTATTTTATTTATTGCAAATGCAACCATCCTCTATTTCATTAGCAAACATTCCTTTCGATTTCGTTCGATCTTCCTGAAATGCATATTGGGCAAATTGTTTGCTCATTGGATGAGAATAATGAAGCGTTTATTTTAATAACTTCTTATCTGTTCGTTTCTCACGCATTAATATTTGCATGTATTTATCATATTATTTGCTATTATTAAGTATTTTTGTCCTTTCAAAAAAATTACTTTTGAAGGAGGCACACGAAATTCGTTTGCCAAAAATTGTTTATTGTCCTCGTTGGTTGTATGCTGCCTGTTAACAAATATTTTCATAACAAATGCTGTAAATAGTAAAGTGAGTTTTTTTAATGGTTCATTTCTGTAATTTATGAATTGTTGAAGAAATGATTAATTAATAAATTAAAAATTATGCCAAAAACTAAAACAAATAGTAACTTCCTTGTCCAGTGAATTAAAAAAAATCTAATGAAATATCTTTAAAGCAATGAAGAAGAGGACGAACATTCGAAAAAGACAGTAAAGATATGATGCACAGAGGTCATTGATCCTTATCTTTCTATGCATTTCATGTTTTAAAACAAAAAACAAAAAATACCACTTATTAGCATTCCAAATGGTCTGTTCCTGAATATTTGATGAGGAAATAATAGCTGGATTCGGAATTACGTCTGCGGAATTTTGTTGCAAGCTTATAGACTGAGTAGGAATCAGGGGTTTTGCTGTTGTTTCTTTCCGTTCACTTTCTCCACTAAGTATAACAATATTGTGTACAGCATTAGTTTTTCGGATAGGAGGAGTGGAAGTAATGCCTTTAACTATTTGCGGTTGAGCTATTACAAGATTTTTTGTCCATAAACTCGCTGAAAGTGAGGCCTTTTCTGTTTGCATTCTGAAAGGTGAAAAATCGCAGAAGTTCTGAACATTCGCCGATTGATGCTGCAGCGTGGTTACTGATTTTTCCGTTATTTTCTGTAATTCGGATTGCATTTTCGAGTCTTTCATTATTTTCTGTGTGCGGAGCACTAGTGATGGTACTGCAGATGGACCTGATTGTTTTGCTGATGGTTCGTTTGATTCTTGCCGAAAAACAGTAGTTGCGATTGGATGCTGCGATTGCTGTTTCGAATCGGCAATAGAAAATAATACTGGTGGAGATTTCATTTCTCCTTCTTGTTTTTGAACTGGATCCACCAATAAATATTCTGGTTCAGATTTTTCTTTGATCCGTTTATCAACCAGCGGTATTTCAGATTTCGTTGAGACTTTTGAATTCAATACAGAAGTAGGAACCTTATGTTGGGGTTGAAAATAGGATGTTATGGTACGTGACAAAACAGGTTTCTTCCTGAAATGTTTAAAATTGAGCATTTTTGATTTAAAGTTTAAATTTCAAAACTTTATTTAAAGTGTAAACTTTCAAAACAAATCCAATGTAAGAACATACTGTTTTTTTCTTCTAGCGTTCTCTCCTTTTGCTGTTTTATTGGTATGTTTGTTTTTACTTTGTTGTACATCTAAGTTAGCTGCAACATTCTCGCTCATGGCTACCGATGACATCATGATTTGGACCTGTAAAGGATATTTGTAGGAAATCAAATGTCAGCTACAATAGTATGAATTAAATTAAGATTTCCAATTTGTGAATAAGTATGCTGCAACTGTCATATTAACCTTTTCCGCTCCCTGTGTTACTGTTTTCTTCACAGTCTCCGTTGAGTTCCCAAATTCTTCGCTTTTCCCACTAAAAAGATTTCTCAACTAAATATGCTTAACAGTAATATATAATCTAATATTCAATTCAAATCTAATATTGAGTGCACTGTAATTAAATGCTAAGAAAATTATATCTATCAAGCAGAACCAATAAAGCTTTACTACCAACGAGACAGTATCATGA